AAAAAAAAGCACAATGGACACAACTTACTGTTAGTGTGATGTGTCCCTTGTGCTGCTTTTGCCTGGTTTAGATGGAATTTTCAGCTTCTAATCCCTCCCCTACTCCCATTGCCATAATCTACTGGTTCAACAGAAGTTAAAAAAACTGAGAGAGCTGTGACAGGCGCTCATCAACTATGCCCATCCTTTTTGCCCACCTCATACATTAATAGAGGCTTTACTTTCACTTCTATGAATGAATGGGTGGATGATTGAAAGGTCCATCTTCTCCATTCATAAATCGGTTTTCAACCCTAGAAGAAGTATGGCTTCTATGAATGGAGGAGCTGGGCAGAAAGGGTGAAAATAGCTAGGCTCTCTTGATGAGTGCCTGTTACAGCTCCCTCAGTTCTATTAACCTCCTCCTCACCGGAAGACTGGCAGTGGGGGATAGGGGATCAGAGCAAAAAGATTTAATATAAATCAGGAGACGGCAACACAGAGGACTGCTATAAGTACTGCTATAAGTACTGTTCCTTGTGCTAATCTTTTTTTTTTTTTTGTTAATTAAACTTAAGTTTTAAAGTGGAATTCCAGTCTAGATCTAACTAAGCTTAACACTGCTCCCACCCACCTCCAAGCTAGCCTGTAGAAGGAAGATGCTTATATTCACCTATTCTCAGGGGATTCTGGTCCAGTCACATGATTTGCTCCCAGGAGCCAACTTCAGGGAGATAAGTTACAGCTGCCAATGGATGACATTCCATCCATTATTGGCTGTCCATCTTCTCCCCTGAAGCTGGCTCCTGGGGAGATCATGTGACCGAACTGGAGCGATCTTTCCTTCTACAGGGTGGTTAGAATAAGTTAGCTAGATCAAGCACAAAATTCCACTTTAATTTCCACTTTTAATTATGAATGAGTAAATATAAGGATTTTGTAGCAGGCTGATTTTGGACATATGAAAAGAACTAACTAACTGAGGAAAGACAGCCATGCTTAAAAAGGGAAAAAAGACAACCAACAATAAAAAGGTGGATATATACAGTCACAGAAATTATGAAATTGCTGTTAGATAGACTTAGAACACAAGAATACAGGTCATTCTGGAGAAACACTATCCATGCAGTTGCCATAAGCTGAGGGTGACTTGACAACATTATTAATAAATATTAATACAGTATATTTGCACTACTACATATTATGCTTGCATACCTCACTAATTTACATATTAATTATAGAAAGTAGGATATATGAGGCTTGTATTACTGTCTATTTTAGTATCAAATGACCAAAAAGAAAACTATATTTAACCAGAAATTATTTTTTGTAATAATCTAAAAGTGTTAAAAGGCCACTTGAGAACACTTGCAGAATTAAAAAAAAATCACAAATCAGAAACAGCTCAGCTGAAAGTGCTGGAGCTGGAGTGCTGAAGTTTATGTATAAAATTCAGTATTTCTGTATAATTTTTCAGTTTGCTTATTACAGATATGCTTTTTAATGCTGCTCAGGACTGTTGACCAAATATCATCATTCGCTAGTGCTATGCAGCTGGGCATACATGGTTGGCAGATGGCTTTGAAGAGGTTAATGCACATCCACTAAGGTCCAATGGGCCCCATACCCATTTGCATTTCTCCTGTGCACAGGCCTCCAGTGATGCTCTACGGATCTCTCTGGGTTTGGCACAGGATGTGACATTAGCTGTTCCCTGATGTGACAGCTCCAGGGCTGGCCCGCGTTATTTATGTCTCTCTTGCAGCAGGGATGATCATTTTCGCCTGAGAAGTAATACACGCAAATTTAATTAGCCCCCCATTTCAGCTGCCTGGCTCGTTAACATCTCTGCGGGTACAGGCGGTGAGATTTAATGTGATCTCCGCTACACACAATCTCCAAGTTATCTGAACGGTGCCCCTCCCTACAACGATGCCTCATCAGACTCAGAGCATTAACCCTCTGCCTTAGGAGGGAGTCGGGGAGGCCTATTCTGGATTTAATTATATGGTAACAGTAGTCCCTGCTGTTTTGTGGAAGGTTCTAAAGCGACACCCGAGGTCTGTTCTAATAAAGAGATGATTAACCCATCCCTCCCCCCACTTGTAATATAGAAACAAAAGTGATTGTGCTAGCCTTACATAATCTAGCAGCTAATCCTAACATAATAGCCTATGCATCTGATGCTCGGAAGTGTCATCATGTTTTATACAAGGGAGAAAAAGGTCATTTGGTATTTATATAAAAGCCTTTTCAGTTTAGGAATCTTGCTCATTATACTTTCGATGTAAGTGGTACAAATAGTTTCTGGGATACGCCCAGAACAACAGTCTCTGCTTTTCTTGAGTCACAATTAGAGTCATGTCAAAAAATGCCATTAGTTTTCACATCCTGTCAGTAGCAGATTTCCTGTCTTAAGGTGGCTACACTCACTCTGATCGCATGCGCAAAGCTGTCCGAGCTGGTCACGACTGCCTAACGCTCCGCACCACAGAGGTTCACACCGCCACCTAAAGTGCCATCAGGCCACATCTTCAGCTATCGTGGCCTTGTGCAGTCCTGTGAGGAACCCCGGAGCTGGTATCATGGTCATGGGAGGCTCCCGTTAGAGACCTAAGGTGAAAACCATCCGTGAGGTATTATCTTGGGCCTCCTCCAAGATGGCACTGTCATCTTCGTCACATGCAGACTCATCGCACACTCCTAAGTTAAAGCCTCTGCGTATCAGGGAGGACTCCTGGCTACACCATTACCACCCCATCCCAATCCTCCCCGCCACAACCTGATCTGCTTGCAGATCGAACACATGTTACAGAAGACTCTTAAATGGACTGCAGACCAGATTACAGAACGCCTCTCCAGCAAGATCTGTGAGCTATGCCAGCTCACTTCTGACTTAGAGCAGAGAGTGGATGACCTTGAATCCATTCTCAGTAATCACGCAGATGAGCTTGAAGAAAGGAAAACCTTTCCCTACAATCTCAGCTGGATAATTATGAAAACATGGCCCATCATTCTAATCTGCTCATATGTGGTATCCTGAGTCGGTGGTCAATCTCCAGTCCACGATAACAGCTATATTTCAGGAGCTCTCCCCATCCATACCCACCGAGCGCCATGAAATGAATCCGATCCACAGAGCCATCAATAAACCGGAGGGAGCTCCGCACGACATTGTTGTTAAGCTTCACTTCTACCACAAGAGAAACAACTTGTCAGGGATGCGGGGGTGTGACCAGAAGTGTGTGGACTGACACAGGGAAACGTAGGCTTCAGATATGGTAAATAATATAATTTATTAAGACTAACAATACAAACATAAACGCAGTGCACCAAACCCCAAGCTAACACAAATACATACAAACCCAAACCTAAACTGATATAGATACACAGGTACATACACATATAGAGCACAACGTAGTCAGGCAGGCCGGGTCGATAACTATCGGACACGTAGGTACAGGAGGAGCAGGCGGAGAGTAGTCAGGTCACGAGCCGGGTACAGCAACTAACGGACAGGCAGGTACAGGGGGTCAGGCAGAGAATGGTCAGGGTCACAAGCCAGGGATCAAACAGGAGAAGTCAGAAGAGGTCAGGATCAGGCAGGGTCGGCAACAAGTCAGGCAGAAACAGGAACAGGAATGCAGGTTACAAGATACAGGGGCCCATGGAAAAACACACACCAAGGCACAGACTGCAGGTCTGGCCATCCCTTAAATACACCACCTGCAATCAGCCCCAGGTGATGGCTAATTGCCGAAGTGAACCTCTGGTTGTTGAGAGCACCCGCTGGCCAGCCCTGGTACTGCAGCCCACAAGGCAGGTGAGTCCCACCACTATTCCTGACAGTACCCCCCCTCAAGGAGCGGCCTCCAAACAGTCCTAGCTGGGCAAAATGTTCCACCACCCGGGTGACTGGCAGGATATCAAAGACTGGAACATCGGGCTGGGCACCGGACGGAGGCACTTCGAGCTGGGCACCGGCCGGAGGCACTTCGGGCTGGGCACCGGATGGAGGCACTACGGGCTGGGCACCGGACGGAGGCACTTCGGGCTGGACACCGGACGGAGGCACTTCGGGCTGGACACCGAATGGAGGCACTACGGGCTGAACACCGGACGGAGGCACGTCGGGCTGGGCACCGGACAGAGGCACATCAGGCTGGACGCGGATCACCAGGCGGAGCAGTGGGCACCATGCCACCAGGCGGAGCAGCGGGCACTGGGCCACCAGGCAGAGCAGCGGGCACCGGGCCACTAGGCAGGGCAGCAGGCACTGGGCCACCAGGCGGAGCAGCAGGCACCGGGCCACCAGGCGGAGCGGCAGGCACCGGGCCCCCAGGCAGGGCGGCAGGCACCGGGCCACCAGGCAGGGGAGCAGGCACCGGGCCACCAGGCGGAGCGGCAGGCACCGGGCCCCCAGGCGGAGCGGCAGGCATCGGGCAACCAGGCGGAGCAGCAGGCACCGGGTAACCAGGCAGGGCGGCAGCACCGGGCAACCAGGCAGGGCGGCAGGCACCGGGCCCCAGGCGGAGTGGCAGGCACCGGGCCCACAAGGCAGGTGAGTCCCACCACTATTGGCAAGTCCATTCCTGACACAACTCCTACTGCTGCACGCCGACATGAGGTGCTTTTGTTCTGTTCCAAAGCCATAATTGTCAGCTTTTTGCTGACCTTTCTCAGCTTACATTGAGCTCTCAAGCCACATCTGCTGGTCTTGCAATGCCACCGCATCACCTATACATGGGGTATTCCTCTCTTTGATTGACCTATGAAGGTCACAAGCACACCTGCAAGACCCCAGAGGAACTCTATTCTCGTCTACTGGAACTGCGTCTGACCCGCCCCACCAACTTTTCCAGATAACCAGTGTCAGGAATGGACTGGCCAGCAATGGTGGGACTCACCTGCCTTTTGATCTGCAGTACCAGGGCTGGCCAGCGGGTGCTCCCAGCAATCAGAGACTCAACCTTTCAGCCAGCTAACACCTGGAACTGATGATACTGGTGTATTTAAGGGATGGCCAGGCTTGCAAACTCTGCCTTGGTGTTGTGTTTGTCCTGGGCCCTGTATCTGTCCTGCATCCTGTTTCTGTTCCTTTGCTGACCCTGCCTGATCTGAACCGCTGCTGACTTCTCCTGCTCTGATCCCGGCTCGCTCCTGACCATCCTCTGCCTGACCCTCTGTACCACGCTGCTTGCTACCTGCTCTGATCCCGGCTCGCTCCTGACCATCCCTCTGCCTGACCCTCTGTACCACGCTGCTTGCTACCTGTTCTGATCCCTGGCTTGTGACCCTGACCATCCCTCTGCCTGACCCTCTGTACCACGCTGCTTGCTACCTGCTCTGATCCCGGCTCGCTCCTGACCATCCCTCTGCCTGACCCTCTGTACCACGCTGCTTGCTACCTGTTCTGATCCCTGGCTTGTGACCCTGACCATCCCTCTGCCTGACCCTCTGTACCACGCTGCTTGCTACCTGTTCTGATCCCTGGCTTGTGACCCTGACCATCCCTCTGCCTGACCCTCTGTACTACGCTACTAGCTACCTGCTGAACCTGGCCTGTGACCCCGACCCATCTCCGCTTGCTCCCCCTGTACCTACCTGCCCTATTGATATTGACCCGGCCTGCCTGACGACGCTTGCTTGTATGTACTGTTATCTGTGGGTGGTTGGTTTGGTTTGTTTGCACTGTATTATGTTTTAGTATTGCACTGCGTTTATGTTTGTATGGTTAGTGTTAATAAATTATATTGTTTATCACATATCTGAAGTCTGCGTTTCCCTGCGTCAGTCACACACCTCTGGTCATACCCGGGAGCCCTGACAACCAGCATCGGTGATCTGCTTCCTGTTCACCACAGACAGTTTCTACCTCCACTTCTGATGATGGTCGTTGAGGCTCCTCCAAGAGTGGTAGAGTTACCTCTCCATCCCTCACTCCATCTGATTCCATGAACTGATGGTAATATGTAACAACCCTGCTTTTACCACATTCAGTGTCCCTTTGAAATTGTCACTGGTTGTATTTGTTCTCATTCCCCCCCCCCCCCCTTACCTCTGAAGTTACCATCGGATTGGTGACCATGACTCCCTCACTATCAATAAATTGTATGTTTCATATGCCTCCAATTGTATTATCAACCTTACCGAAGTGATTATCTGCTAGGGGAAGGCTGTTATATTGTATTGAATAACAGTATATTATAGCTTGTATTTTATGTATTTTTTCTGTTTGTTGAGACTGGATAACATGGTCTCTCAGAGAACGTTGTTTCTGCTCTAGCTTTACTCTCCTAGCTCTGCTGTGGTTGTCATTGTTTGAACATAGCTTCAGTCTTCCCCCTACCAATCCTTTTTATGTTTTATGTTGCACACCTGAGGCCCTTTGGACATCTTTACTAAATGTGGATTAACATGCCTAATGTTGATTTTCTTTTACTGATTCACATCACAGCATCACAGCGTGCATCTCTAGAGCGACCTATCAGATTTAGAGGTCCTTAATATGGTGAAAGCTTTGAAATCCAACGACAGGGCCCTGACGACTTCACAGTTACTTTCTACAAGTGTTTTGCTGATCTCTTAACTCCAACGCTGGTTAAGGCCTTTAATTCTATTCTGAAACATCTCAACTTGGTTATAGTTTCTTATTCATAGAGACTAGCTGGGCTTCATTTACCTTAGACAAGCTGGAGATAATGGCCATCAGACAGTTCTGCTATCTCATGCAGCCCCGCTCTCAACGTATACCTGCCTGTTTTGTGTTGTTGAACATTAAAAAGGCTTTCAACACAATCTTTTGGCCTTACCTACAGTTCACACTGTGGCTTTGACCCACATTTCCTTAACTGGATATCATACACCACTCCAACAACATATCTTAAGTATGCAGGCTATAAATCTGACCCCTTTCTCGTCTGTTGAGGGATGAGTCAGGGTTGTCCTCTGTCCTTGCTCCCATTTGCCTTAGCCATCGAATCCCTGGCCAAACTGATTCACTCCAACTCAGACATTAAGGGCCTTGAACTTGGAGGTCATCACCATAAGCTGTGTCTGTTCGCAGATGACATGCTCCTTTTTATGTCCTCACTACTGATTTCCACCCCCAATCTTCTTGTGACTTTAGACCAGTTTGTGTTTGTTTCTGGTTTAGTGTTGAACCCACAGACATTAAACTTCATTAATATATCCTTGCCCTCGTTGACTCTAATGCAATTTCAACACGTTCTACCTGTTTTCTGGTCACCCCATGTTATCCCTTACTTGGGAATAAAATTCACAGCTGACCCCACATCTTATTCTCAGCTAATTATCCACCAGTGTTTGCCCACTTATTTGATCTCATGACCTCATGGTCAGTTCTGCCCTTGGGATTAGAGATGAGCGAATCGAACCAGGCGAAGTGGAATTCGTTTCGAATATTGGGAAAAATTCGATTCGCATCGAATCCGAATTTTAGCCAACTTCGGGTGCACGAATCGAATTTTTCCCGATCAGCCGGCAAAAGTGTCACTGCAGAGAGCTCCGCTATTTCTGACAGTTCTGACAGTTCATTTACAGCGGTTGAAACATTGTATCTATTTGTTTCCATTTAGGATACAGATGTTTTTATTCGGAAATAAATAGATACAATGTTTCAACCGCTGTAAATGTGAAGGAACTGTCAGAGAACTGTCAGAAATAGTGGAGCTCTCTGCAGATACACTTTTTGCTGTACTGGAATACTTCTTCTTTTCATTCTTCTTCTTCTTTTCATTCTTCTTCTTCTTCTTTTCATTCTTCTTTTCATTCTTTCTTCTTCTTTTCATTCTTCTTCTTCTTTTCATTCTTCTTTTCATTCTTCTTTTCATTCTTCTTCTTTTCATTCTTCTTTTCATTCTTCTTTTCATTCTTCTTCTTTTCATTCTTCTTTTCATTCTTCTTCTTCTTTTCATTCTTCTTCTTCTTCTTCTTTTCATTCTTCTTCTTCTTCTTTTCATTCTTCTTCTTCTTTTCATTCTTCTTTTCATTCTTCTTCTTCTTCTTTTCTTTCTTCTTCTTCTTCTTTTCATTCTTCTTTTCATTCTTCTTCTTCTTCTTCTTCTTCTTTTCATTCTTCTTCTTCTTTTCATTCTTCTTTCTTCTTCTTTTCATTCTTCTTCTTCTTCTTCTTTTCATTCTTCTTCTTCTTCGTCATGCCCGTGACTGCCCAAATGAGTGAAGTGTGCGGTGATTCTAAGATCGACGGCACTCATCTGCATGTCATACTGACTGACAGTATTATTTCTCTTCCCCAGCAGACTCCAAGGGCATTTAAATTAAAGGTACAGTGTTCTGCACTAATATAAAGGCTCTCTGAAGCCTAGAAAACCTTTAAATAAGTTAAATTCGCGGCGAATAAATTCGCATCGAATCGAATTTCTCCCGCAAATTCGGCGAATCAGCCGAATCAAATTTTTGAATAATTCACTCATCTCTACTTGGGATGATTGGAGCACATCACTGTAGCCAAAATGGAAATCTTGCCAAAAATTCTATATTTATTTTGTTTTTTACTGATCCTAGTTCCATCAAATTTTCTGCAGATCTTACATCTTACTAAGGCAGGGCTAGGCCTTGTCTCTCTAAAACAATTTTATTACTCTTCTAACTTCAATTGTAACGTAGGACTCCAAAACTTTACTAAGTACTATCAAGCAGCCCATGTAGCCAAACCTCCCAAATTCAAAGTTCAGCTTACAGTCTCCTCATAACACACTTTTGTCTTATCTCCAGAACCCAGCCTTTTATCCAGATTGGACTTCCCCCTCTTCATTTCCTAAGTGGTCCTTTGCCAATTTCTGCTTATAAGTATACACAACCCCTGATGTATTTAAATAGTTTTCTACCCTCTGTGAGTCATACGAAAACCCAAACTTTGAACCTTTCAGTTTTCTTCAAATTAAACACTTTCTCACTCCATGCCTGTGCATGGACCCCTCCCAACCCAATATGACCAGTTTGGGATGTATATGCCAAAATGATCCCCATGTTTGTGGTTTAATTTCTACTTTATAAATCCAGCTGTTGGCTCCGCTGCCCCACACATCACTTCACTATGTAGTTAAATGGGAGCGAGACTTAGGTCTGCAACTGAACATCAAGGACTGGTCTGATATTTGGACAGCTATCAAATCAGCTTCACAAAATATAGTGGCCTGGGAAATGAATTATAAAGTGCTTATGTGGTGGTACCCGGTCCCTGCCTGGATCACTACATTTCTCCCATCTTACCCTCCCACTTATTTTCCTGGATGTCCAGACAATGGCGTGCACCATTAAATTTGGTGGAGCTGCCCACTGGTCCAATTATTCTGGACCAACATTTTTAGTATCCTCTCTACCCTGTTTAGCTACTCTTTGGACTTAGACCCGGCCACAGCTATACTCAACAAAAAACCTCTAGGCGTGGCTCCCCAACAATTTAAACTTCTCCTGCAGGTCACTATTGCAGCAAAGCAAGCCATTGCAAAGGCCTGGAAGACTCCTCATCTCAATATTACAGAAGCTAAAAATAGAATTAACAGGGCCATGATACATGCTAAGGTTGAAGCTCTCCTACTTGATAGGGTTCAGAAATATGAACGTTTGTGAAAACCATGGGTGGACTATTTCCTCCCAGCTGACATTTATGAAACGTTAATATTCCCTTGACTATCTTAAGTCCATGGCTTAGGAGACCTCACGTAGATTCTCCTGGATTACTTAACCCCCCCCCCCGGGGCCTGCTCTTGTCCTTTTTTCCCCTCCTCTATACTTTCTTTCTTCTCCCTTCTGTTTCCCCTTTTCTTTTCCGATTTTTGTAGAGTCTCCCCTGTTCTCATTTCTCTCTCTCTCTACCAGTGAGCTCCCCTGACCAGTGGTTGCCTATCTTACAGGATGCTACTACCCAATATTACATCTGCCACATCTGACTTCTGGCTTGTTCAGGAGCTAAGTTATAGTTCACTAGTTTATCTCTCTTCGCCTCTCTATATTATCAGATTCCTTAGTGTCCCTTCCTCAAGTACTAAGAAGTCTCAAAACCCTCTTGACCTATATTATGTGGTTCTAACCACTGGTTCTGATGCCATGAGGGTTTGTAATGATATGTTCTTGATGGGCACCAATGAGAATTCCTGTTTATTATATACCTTGTTGCATTGCAGCTGTCAAATGTTTACCTCCACTATTATTTTATACATTTTTGGGCTGCATCCCTGTCATTGTGTTGTGTTTTTGTGCATTCTGTTCCTTCCTTTCTTTATGGAGTTAATTACTCTGTGTCTTTGTATGTTTAGTCCTTTCTCTAATAAAACAATTGAACAAGAGAAACCAATCAACTTTCAGTTTTGTTTTTGTCAAAGCTTAATTGAACAATCTGAAATTAGAAGCTGATTGGCTACCATGCAGAGATGCACTAGATTCTGCACTCTCCAGTTTTAGTAAACCAACTCCAAACTATGAATAAACAGAAGAGAAGGTACAAAGTAGTTCACATATATGAGGTGTAAGGCTATAAGGTAGCAAAGATAGTAATAATCCTGAGGTATGCAATAAAAAGGGGCATATGTCAAGAAGAACAACCATAGCCAGATTATCAACATAGGCTCAGCTGATGGCAAATGGTAAGTAGTGAGCAGTTCGGTTGCCCATGATGATTGTAAAAGAGACCAGCTAGCCCTTTAAAACCTTAAAAAGTTTTTT